CCTCTGCCCCGCAGCGCAGCGTGCGGTAGTGGAAGGTGAACTGCGGGCGGGGGAAGCGGGGATGGAGCGGAGACGCGGCGGGGGGAAGGCTTCAACAAAGCGCCGCGGCGCCCCCGTCGCCGCCAGCAGCCGCCCCCGCCGCCGGTGCCCACCTTGGTGCCGTCGCGGGGCTCAGGCGGCGCGCCGCTGCCCTCGCGGATCACCTCCTTGTGCACGCCGTCGGCGCGCAGCGCCTCGACCTGCTGCGCCATGATCCGCCGCCGCTGCCGCCGCTTCGGGCGGCGCCGCCGACGCTCGGCTCTTTCCGGAGCGCCGCGCCCGGCTCCGCGGCGGCCCCTGGCGGCCGAGAGCGCTCCGCGCCCGCTCGAGACACCCGCCCGGGGCGGAGCCCGAGGGGGCGGCCCGCAGCTCGCGAGCCCCGGGCAGGGGAGCTGCGGCGGGCAGGACGCGATCCCCGCCTGCCCCGGGTACCCCCGGGGGATGGCGACGTGCCCCGAGACCTCGCACTGGTGCCCAGGGCTCCCAGTGCTTTTGGTTTTTATTGGCAAAGAGGGAAATGCGCAGTGGAAACGCAGCACAAGCTTGGGCAGCAGCCCGAGGGCTCCAGGGGACGCACCATGGAAGCTCTTCCCCCTGGGCCCGTATCAAACCCCCCATACCCCCAATCAAACCCGAGCAGGTGGTCACACAGATGGACTGTACCCTGCATGGGCACCCGTGTCCTCAGGGATTCGTGTGGCACATTCCTGCTCTGCTCATAGTGAATTCCCAACAACACCCAACTTGACACTGTAGTCCACAGCCCTGTGTGTTGAGACCGTGGTGTCTGTCATGGCTCCCAACAGCTCCAGGTGGCTCAGTGAAGGTCTGGTCTCCCCTGAGAAAAGGACATTTCCCAGGACACAGGGGTCATTCCCACACCTGGACGAGGGTCCCCCGTGCCCAAGCGCTGCCCACCATGATGCCGTGTCGGAGTGCGGGCAGCTGCATCTCCTGGCAGGACGTCACAGCACTCAGATTGGCTGCTGCGCAGGCTGTGCTGCCTCTTACCTCCCAGCACCACAGTCTTGGAGATGCCTAGGGACGCTTGGTCCCAGAGCAAAAGCCTTTAACAGTTCAATGTGGCTTTGGCATTGTGCCCATCCGAGAGGGCATTCCTGGACCTAGTGGGAGTGTCTGCAACAGATTGGGGAGTGAAACAATAGTTAGAGCAGGGGCTGTGTTGTGGCCGCCTTCACGGGCTGCAGAGCTGCAGGGGCTGATGGTGGGGCCCACTGCATGGGGCTGCCAGGGCTCAGGCCATGCCGAGAAGGGCTGTTGGGGGCCATGGCCTCCCAGGCCTCTTGCACACACACCTGCGCCACTCGCCATCTCCTGGTACTCAGGTGTCAGGGTGTAGTTGACCTCCTCATAGATGGCCTCATAGTTTGCATCCACATCTGGGCCAGAGCCTGGAAAGGAAGACAGCCATAAGCCAAGGTCCAGGGTACAGCATGGTGGATATTAAGGGTAATGTGAAAACCCCTCGATGTCTCTGCCCACAGCTGTGCCTCATCCTCAGAGTGGCTGTGGTAGCCCTGCCTGGCCTTTTCTGCACTGGSTCCTGGCCTCACTTGGTCATGCCTTCTGTGCTTGACCATCTCACCTCCCACTCTTGGCATGAGGGCAGGMAGCTCCATCCACAGGGAGCACACAGGCACTCACTGCAGCAGAGCCGCATGCACAGCAGCAGGCCCAGCACCCTGGCAAGGAGCTGGCTGACAGTGGCCATCCCACTGGCCTCCTGCCCCATGGTGCAGTCCTCAGCTCCTCACCTCCTGGGCCATTACAGGTCTTGTGCTGCTGAGGGCAATATATAGACAGAGACGTAGGYGCCACTGCCAGGGAAGATGGTTGACGTGAAGACACTTTTTGAGATGTTACCAGGAGGGTTATCTCCCATCTGACAGAACCACAACCTCCAATAAACTTATATATCCACACTCATGCCTATATATGCAGCTCACCTCTGCTTCTCGCATTTTGTGTGCCACACCATTGGCACCTGCCCAGCTGTCATTGTGGGGAGCTTGATGAGCTGACCATGGCTCCTCACCTGGGTGCTTGCAGCGGGTGCYGGGGATGTGGGGCCCTTCCTGTGCCTGAATCTTCATAGGACTGGATCTGGCACCCTGTGCCAGGGACCCCAGCAAGAGTCCTGTGCCCCATTCAGGACAGCATCTGCTGCAGTCTCCCACATGTTGTGGGACTGACCCTGGCACCAGGTCCCTTGGCAGTGCTGCACAGGAAGCAGGCAGTGGGGCTGCCTCTTGAGACAGAAACCGCTAGAGTGGCACCAAGTCAGACCTGGTTCCAGGCTCCATGGCACATTTTCAGGGAGGCCTTGGCCCCTTGTGGAGGCATCTGTTCATCCAGCTGTATTTCACACTATGGTAATGCGAGGTTATTGTAAGAGATTGTGAGAGAGTGTCTCTTTGCAGTGGCACTCCCACAGAGACCTGAAGCAAATCCAGAGCCACCCAGGAGCTCTGGGGATGAAGGTGAGGGGCACAAGAGACTGGTGGTGCTGCTCTGGACCCTGCCACTCTTGGGACAAGTAGGGGCATGCCACAGGTTCACTCCACTCCGTGTGGGTGTTCTGACAGGCTGAGTTTCGCCTTTGTGATCACATTTAACCTGCCCAGCATCTGCCTGAGTGCAGAGCAAGTGTGAGGACACGAGGGACAGCTCCACAGAGCACAATAAAGTTTTATGCAGATGCTCAGGAGGTGAATTTACACCTCAGAAGGGCAAGGGCAACTGGCATCTGACATGGCCACTKATCACAAGAAAGGTCTGTGCTGCGACTCAGGAGATGAGCTCCTGAGTCCTTCAGGAGGGCTGCTTGGTTAAGCTGGCTGAGCTCCAGTGCAAAAGGGTATGTCCAGGAGGAGGAAATGAGGCTGAGCTTTACCAGCAAGGTCTCTAATGCAGCTGTGCTTAGGGAAAGTGCTTAGGTGACAGAGGAGCATCCGGTAGTGAGTGCATAAGGATCAAGAAAGGGCTGAGCTGAGAAATCTCCGTGCTCCCCACACTCCCTTGGTCCCAGTGAACTGCATCCCGGATGCCAAGGGAGCTGGCAGCTGTCCCTGCAGTGCTACCCTGCCTCATGTCTGAGTGGTCATGGAGATGGAACCAATTACTWGATGCAATGGTAAACTACATTGTAATATCTGAATATTCTAAGGACTTTGGAAAGATATGGTCCTGTGCAGATTTTAACATTCTCATGGTCTGAAATGCAGCTGGCTGAGCAGAAGCAGGAGCAGGTGGTGAGAGGTGGGCTATTTGGTGGTATCACAGATGTGTGCTGGGGCAGGAGTGCAGTGATTGTGCCTCATACTGTCCCACACCAGCACCTACACTGCCGTGGCAGCTTCCCATAGGGGCTGGCACTCCAGGGAAAAAACACCTGCTTCCTTCCTCAGTGCTGTCTGGCGTGAGGACAGACGCCGCGGAAGTGGGGTCGACTGTGGAGCACCCAGGTGTGGGCAGGATAAGAAGCTGCTCCTGTTGCCAGTGGGCCTCTGCAGGGGGCCAGAGCTGTCCTGCAAATGCCCTGTGGAGACCTGGACCAGGCTTGCATTGGTGCTTCTCTGAGGAGTTGCCATGCACAAACAGCGCTTCTGCACCAAGGCTACATCTCTGGCTATGGAGGGCATTTCCTGGGAAATTTATGGTCCATGGTAGAGCCAGGCTCTCCCAGGGTGCTGCAGTGCATACAGCCTTCCAGGTGAACATGGACCTAAATTGCCAAGAAAAGAAGAACTGGTAAAACTACTTTAGATTCTGACTACCACCTGAGACCACAGGGCAGAGCAGACATAGATGAGGATACACTGTCCCTGCCCCACAGCATCTGGCCCCAGGGTGCCTGTACAGCCACAGCCCTGCTGCCATCCTCCCTGCCCATGGATTTCAGTGCCCTGCGGCTGCTGGGCCAAGGGTGACAGGCAGCAGAAGGGGCTCAGAGCCCAACAGCTCATGGGGTTTGCTGCACTGGCCTGAAACCAGCCCTGGTGCACTCAGGTGAGAGAGGGCACTTTGGCCATTCTGTCTCAGTGTCTGTCCAGGTGATTGATATCTGTGTTTCAGTCCTTTCAAGCTCCTAGTTGGAGATGGTGAGTCAGGATTACCACATGGAAGGAGTCCCACCAGCCTACCCAAACCACTGTGTCCCAAGCCTGGCTGTGTCTTGTCTCTTGTTGGGACATGAGGACCTTGAGCTCTTATTTAGATTTCTCTTATCTCTGGGGTACACATGTCTTGTTCTTGAATTTCACCTCAGGGCCTCCTTGCTGCTAGTGTGAGGAACATAGGCCATGCAGGACCCAGGTGGTTCTGGATCCATGTGGCCTGTGCTTGGCAGAAATCATCAAGACCATTGTGGCTAGGGAAGCAAATGCAAGCATCTGTTTCACCCTGTTGGCAAGGAGAACTTTGTAAGGGGACAGAGTGTACCAGCAGCAAGTCTATTCCTGATGAAAAAGCAGGAGGAGTAGCTGATACTGCAGAGGACTGTGCTGCCATTCTGAAGGAGCTCAACAGGCTGGAGACGTGGGCAGAGGGTAACATCATGAAATTGAATGGAGAGAAGGGCAGGGTCTTGGACCTTTGGCAGAATAACCCTCTGCCCCGATCGGGGCTGTGGTCTGACATGCCAGAAAGCAACCTTCAGACCTCAACCAGCAGAGCAACACCTCGGAGGCATGGTGGATGATGAAAAGATGGTGAGCAATGTGTCCTTGTGGCCAAGGTGGCCAATGGTATCCCGAGCTGTATTGGGCAGAGCACTGACAGCAGGCTGAGGGAGGGAATCCTCCCTCCTTTCTTTACTCAGCCCTCAGAGACCACATGTACAGAGCTGTGCACAGTTCTGGGCTCCACTGCACAAGAGGGACCTGGAGCTATTGGAGTGAGTCCAGCACAGGGCTCCTAAGATGCTGAAGCGATCGGATCATGTGTTGTACAAGGGATGGTGGAGAGAGCTGGGTCTGTTCAGGGTGGAGAAGAAAAGCCTGAAGGGTAATTTTTATCAATGGGTATAAATATCTTAAGGGAGGGTGTAAAGAGAATGGGTCAGGCTGTTTTCAGTGATGTCCAGCAGTGTCCATGATGCCTCCCATGCTGGACACAATGGGTGTTTCTGGCTCTCATGGATAGGGCTGTTGTGTTGTGGCAGGAAGGCAGGCCAAAGTCTCCCTTTGAGAGG